ATCCTGAGAATGTCGTTGTGTGCACACGGCCAGTGCGGGCAGAGGTATTATGAAGCTGATTCTTTGGGCCAGCAATGTTTCAGTGTGTGTGGTGAGGGGCGAACAGGGAAACTCACCATTGCTAGGATTTCGGCGATATAGCGGGCGTCCACGGTGAACTTGTTCCTCGCACTAGCAATATAACATAGAAAGTTGTAATCCAAGCATTTCCTTCCAATGCCGACACACTCACAGTTGCTCGGAGTCGTTGAATGTCTTCGTCGCGAGCCTGTACGGCTTGTTTCATCTCGAAGTCTTTCTCGGCGAGGCGTTGTGCGCTCGTGGCCAACAAGTGAAGTGCGCATTGGGACATCAACAAAAAGCACTTAGACACATTGTCATCGCCATCGTGGAAAATCTGCGCTGTGTTATCCAAGACCCAGATGCAAACTTCAATTGCGCGAGGCGGACCTTGCGCTTGAGATCATCAATGTCCTTGTACGGCCGTCCTTCGGTAACATCGCATGCAGCCAGGTACTTATACAGGCCTAGCACGTTTTTGAGCATGTTGCCTAATCTATGATCGTGTACCGCGTGCGTATAATCGGTCAGTGTTTTGCCCAAGTCTGACACTGACGTCTGGTCGCCAGGAGAGTACTTGCTGTATGCGAGATTGGCGACGAGAGCGGCGACGAACTCGTCGGAGACAGGCATGGCCGGTTTCGACGGCCAAGCCTTCATGTGGCGATTGGCAAGGTAGTTTAGATGTTCGATGGTGCCTACAGACAGATCTGCCAGGTTTTCCATTGCTGATTGTGTTGCACGAGGGTCGGGAACCGTTGCTGCGGTGCGGAGGCAAAAGGGATGCGATAGTTGCGCCGAGCTAGACAGTCTTATATACATACGAAACGGTGACGTATTGTGGGAGTGATGAAGTTTGGATCATCGGAGGGGGCTGCGATGTCGAGGCTTTCAAAAGAAAAGTACATCTGGATGGATGGAGAGTTGAGTTTCTGAGCAATACACCGTACCAGCGTCACACATGACATGCACATGCAATAATGTCTGATTGAGCAAGAGCCAGAAACAACCGTCAAGCTCATGCCTCTCGAAGCAGAGATATTGCGGACTTTGAAGCCATGCCATGTTTGTACAAATTGAGGCGCCCAGACCATGACTCCGACGAGCACCACTTGATCATGGGGTCACAACGTGTCAGCGGTCTAGTTCTTCTCATATCTACTGCGGTATCAGTGAGAGCAATTGATATATCGTGCCGAAATACACATGCAGACCGGGCCGTGAACGAGTTCTGGTCATTCTGACTGGTTGTGGTAAGTTGGAGAGCACAAACAAGGCGCGAGGATGCTCCCAGTCACATATGAGCAGTACTCGACGTCGTCCTTTGCGCTTTAACCCTCCATTTAAATCATTCAACGGCTGGATAAATCACTGTACTACAAGCTTCGCAGGTCTTGCATGCATGCATGCCTACTAGTTAGGGTTCGGAAAGCGGCTTAGGCTCCCTGTAGATCGAGAGGGAAGCCGCAAAGCCTTTCAATGCTCGCGTGCCTCGCTGTTAGTCTTCACGGACTGGGTTCACTTACAGGATGAATGTTGACGAGAGTTCAAGTGACCGAGATACGAAGGAACATGCATATAATAAACTGAAAGCCCGTCATACTTATGCCGCTGCCAGAATGGAGTCGGTGCAACCGAGAGCAGTGAATGCCCATGCGCCTTCATTGCGTTGAGTCGTCGGACAGAACCTATTGCTCAGGCTGAGAGGCAGGCGCAACAGCTGATTTCGGCAGAAGCTACGAGTACTATCACTTATTCCATCACCAGCACCTCAGAACGTATGCTCAAATTGCCGTCTAGACACTGACATTGGCCAACCAGACAGCGTGGTTGGACACGGCGCAGCGGTACGAGCACAGATGGGAGTACTGATTCAAGGCTTAAATGTTGGTTCAGACTACGTATTCAGTACACGGATGAAGTTTGAGCAGCCTGTTAACGTACGGATTTCGAGCGCCGCAGTTTTCTTTCCAGTTAGCGGGGATGAGAAGGTGCGGAGTTGTGTGGCGCAAACTCAACGTCTTCAAAGCACTATCCTGTCAGGCTTTCGGCATGAAAGCTTTGGGAATAACATCTAGTGAGGACTCACGGTAATACTGAGACCCGATAGGGGGCGGAAGTATTAACGGCAGGTATTTCGTGTGAGTCAGAGGGGAGTGTGGGCGCAACTGGCGCTGCGGTACAAGTATGGAATGAATTCCCAAAAACAACGTTGAAACCTACTCTAATAGGTACAGATAGGATGCGGATCAAGTTTACAAAGCATTCCCGCGTACAGCCTGTGAGCGCCGGCGTGTTCTTTGCCGATGGAGGTATTCAAGCGCAGCTGGATGGAACAACGTGCCCATAGCGTACATCTCATCGAATTAATTCGGTTAAAAATCACCAACATGTAGCTAGTGATCCATCAAACACATTCAAACGAGAGAGTGGACCAGAAAGAAGTACACCGAATTGCGCCGGTCATTTCTTTGATTTTAAGGGGCAAAAACAGTGTTTCGTCTCCCACGGTATATTTTGCTGGGTAACAAAGGATGTTTGCTTTGAATGGTAGTCCATTAGGTACAAGAAGTATGCGTGTAAAGTATCAAGGGTCTTTTCGCATATATCTTTTGAGAGCCGGCGATGTTCTCCTCCTCAGAGTGCCCAGAATGACACCCCCTCCTCCTGGGCGTACGGTACACGCTACGACCTCGTTCTGGGATGGTTAAATACCGAATTTAATGCTAGTAATATATTTTGCATAGTACGGGACCCAGAACGTACCGTGGGAAGAGCGCCGGTGGCAAAGAACCAATGCCCCTTTGGTTCCGGATAAGGGTGTTAGTAACACTCTCCCGCGCTCTATCGTACCTCGTAACTACCGCGTTTCACCTCCTGACTCTTCCCG